AAAACGGTGGTGATTTCGATGATGACGACATAGGAGCGTGGTGCTGATGATGACCGACTTCTGGGACGTGAAAACACATGGCACAGGCCTGAGTGCTTGTGTGGCTTCGACAAGGCTATGGCGCAAGGTTGATTCAAGACGGTGCACATGAGAGCTTGAAGACGACGGGGCGCGGGGTGGACTGATCATCTACCATGGAGTCATGTTCAAGGTGGAGCTGGATCGAGGGGCTATGGTGTAAGGATCCAGGGAATCGAAGCCTATTTAGTAAGGGGGGAAAGCGAGTGACATGCAGTTCGGACTGGAGCTCAGTGGTCTGGTGGAAACGTAAAACTCGTCATCGATTGGTGATGATCGGTGGTACTCTGCAGTGGGGGTTGAGTGGTGTGGGTTCGCGACCCTTGAGACTCGACCGGGACAGCGCAGGCTCAACGCGGTAATAGCGGCGAGGCGTGCGGTGCACACGGGACATGGAGACGGGCCAGGGCTCTGGTGGTCATACATGTGGTGAGTCAATTGCGAATTTGACTCAGGGTGACTACATGCAATGGTGAAATTTCTTCAAGTTTCAGACAGACGGTCAAGAAATGAGCGGTGATGTTGAGTTCAGGTAACTCTTATGTGTGACACCCAATATGTGAGTTGTTCACTTTCACACAGGTGAGTGATCAGTGTGTGATGGCGTTGAACGGATACTCTGAAAGTTGGGAGAATGGACTAGAGTAACAAGAAACTTAATTTTGCTCCAGTGTTGACTGTGGTCAAGAAAAAAATGGACTACAAGTTGCAGGAGGAGTCATATGGAGTCTTTGGAGTAGCAGCGGTTCTCGTGGGATAAGCTCAAGTCCAATGTACATGGAAGTTTGACGCATGGACAAATTCAAGGTGATGGAGAATATTCGGCAAGGTGGAGTTTATTGGAGTTGTGTCGAATATTGTGTACAAGGTAGGTTACAGTTGGACTTGTAGTTGTATTGTGTTTACATATGATATGTAGTCGTGTCCTAGTAGGACACTTGTATCCTATGTCTCTCATATATAGCGAGGGTAGACACATGATGTAGCCTATGACAACATAAGAGCACAGGCGCGCAAGGGGGAGCCGGCGGTATGTGCCGGTGCTCGAGTGACCGGTGTGCGGTATTGTGACGGTGTCACGGGGAGGAGCGCTCGTAGTCATGCCTCGAAGATGTAGCCATATTGATAAAACTTATTAACAAATCTCAGTGTCGTGCTTGTTTGATTGCTTAGTTTTTGAATGATTGACGGTATGCCTCGTATTTATTCAAACAACGGGAAACCCATTATCTCTGATATGGTAATCCAAGCCCGATCTCGTCTCCCTTTCACTGCTGGTGCCATCGTTTCCACCTCCGCCGGCATCCTCGTGACAATACCAGCACATTTCCTCAGGTCTCGATCGCGTAGATCAGAAACCGCATCAAGCTGCACCGAGTGAGAGAAAATTTCCTCGTGGAAAACACAAGCCGTCCTAGACCTCAGCTCTGATGAGTGATGACATGTACGGCTATAGAGTTGCTCCATCGTCGCATTGTTACCTGCTAGCTGCCACGGACCGTCGTTGAAGGAACCAAAGACCCCTCCAAGAGCGTGCCAAGCTCAAGACTTCCTCCACTAGTGCCAGCAGGACCAGACGGTCATGATCTGATCGCCCTCCTTGGGTTGATGATTAAGGACATAGCTCACCACCTCAGCCACGGTGTGGAAGACGCTTCACGACATGTTCGTATCCCACAATCGGGCACATGTGATGTAGCTGCGCTACGAGCTCTCCAAATTGAAGAAGAAGGCTTTGAAGTTGTTGGGGCTAAATGGCTGGACGACATGATCGACGCGACCAGTGGCTCCAACTCAGGGAGCGGCTTAGGTCCGACGGGTGTGAGGATGTCCTCGGTCATCAACTCAAGGAAGGTGGTCATGACCGTCTGGTCCTGCTAGTATCACCAGAGGAAGGCCAAGGATTGGTGATGACCCTCTCTATTGCGGGGCCCCAAGTTGGCGGGCCAGGCCATAGATGACATGTTCTAAAATGTGGTAATTCAATATAGCTTAATCATGTATCACATTCAAACTGGCATCGTCTTATCATGATCTGGCTTGACAGTGGAAACGCTGGACCCGAAGTTCTTCTGCAGGAACCTGCGCATGTGATTGATGCCCAAGCACATGAACCATCCGTGCATGTGCTTCCCCGCCTCTCGCCGAGTTAGAATCGTCCTCCCGGTCAAGGCTCCTACACACTCAATCCATCATGGCGGGCTCATTAGCACTGCCAGCAATTCCCTTGAGCGTCGCAAGCACCGACTTTAGGACCTTGTCGGCTTGTCGCCTTCCATGTCCTGCTTGTACATGTACCCGCACTGCACCATGGACATGTACACCCTCGGGGGCACAAATTTCGTGACAAAGTATACACAGCATCATTGCTAAATGCATCAACTTATTTCGCAAAAAAATGTTAAATGCATGACCTGTCATCACATTCGCATTTCTCTCCACAACTATGTAATGACCAACTACGGTACAATTATGATGAGCTCCCCCTACAGGCTTAATAAATAAGCAACTCGGAATAGGAATGCAGCAAATTAGAGGCATGACCGTTTGTATCAGTCACGCAAAATTAGAGAAATGGAGCAAAGTTAGATGTGGGAGCTATCATGTTATCGTGTTTTAGATGTGGGAGGAAACTGAAAACATGAGTATATCGTAAGTTACATGCAATGTGCAAGCACACAAGAAGCCAAACCAGTGCAAGAGTGGGTTAAAACGTATGGCTCAACTGAGTCCCATGGTGCATCTTTGCTGAAAAATATGGGAGGAAACCCAACATCTAAGTGTATGGCAGATTCAGATACGAAAACACATTTCGTACTCTATTTTAAATCACAGTAAATCATTTTCTATTACTTGTTCTTACTGGATGTCAATTGTAACCAGTGGCTACTTGGATTACTCTATGGTATATTAGAACCAATCAAGGTATTTTCTTTACCGTGAGGATGATTGAATTAAGAAAATGGTATTAGTTGTTCAGCACTCGTGGTTGTCTCTGCACTCTCCAGCCCTATGCTTTCGGAAATCTGCTGAAAATAGCACCAAACTTTAGCAGTTTTTCTTGTAAGAACAATTCATCTCTATTTTGTATTTCAAATTCTTGGTTTCATCCGCTTGAGTGATAATTATGTACTCCCTCCATTTCTTTATATAAGGTGTATTTATTTTTGGATAATGTTTGTGCCCGGTGCGCCGACCGAGTATTCGGCCGGTCACTCGCGACACGCACCTGACTTGGCCCCGCACCGCTACCTTATCCTCAGTCGCACCTGCATCTATCTTTCTTCATCAAATCCCTCTCACCATGGAAGCCCTCTTGAGCTCGATTCCTCCTCTCTCCCTCCACTCCTCCTCTGGCCATGGAGCACTAGTTGTTGCTGCTCCGCCGTGCATCTCTGCCTACCCTCCCTCCACCCACAACGGTCTTGGTCGACGGCGGCGACGGCTTTTTTTTGCTGCAACCGTTTTGGATTTTTGCTACTACCGGAGACGCCATTTTCTACTACCAGAGTCTTGCTGGAAACATAAGGAGTTTTTGCTACCACCCCTAGTATTTTTTTGATTTTTGCTGAACCAACCTAAAAATTTCTACCACCGTATTTTGATTTTGCTGGAACCGGTAATTTTTTTGCTTCGCGCGGCGGCGGTGAAGGCGGGTCATGTTTTGCTTCACCGGCGGCGAGCAGGGGCAGCGGTGGTCCAAATGAGGGCAGCGCAGGCTAGCGTGCGGGATCCCGCGAGCTGCGGCGCTTCCTTTTTTCTCCTCTTTTTCCCGTGGGGGAAGATGACGAAAGGGGATGCGGTGCGGGACAGATCTGACGATTATGCGTTTTTATATCGAACGGCGCTGGGTGGACCGGCCGAAACTTGCGCCGGTGTGCCGGCGCAGAGTACTGCCCTTTATTTTTTTTTTAAGTCAAACGAGTGCATGTTTGACCAAGTTTTTAGCAAAATATATCAATATCCACAATACAAAATTTATATCATTCGATCCATCTTAAAAAGTAGCTTCATATTTTATCGATTAGGTATTGCAGATGTTATTTTATTGTATAATCTTGGTCAAACATTCAAACGGTTGACTTGCACGGAAATCAATACACCTTATATTATGGAACGGAGCGAGTATGTCATAGGTTACATCTTTGTGAGCAATAGCTCTTATTTAAGACCAGTATGTCGTAGGTTAGATCTTCGTGAGCAATACCTCTTATTTAAGACCAGTATGTCATAGGTTAGATCTTATTTTGAACTGTTTTGGGAGCTGTCTGAACCATCTAAAACTTCTTATAAAAGTGAACAGAGGGAGTATTTAAGACCAGCTATTGGAGGATTTCTTGCACAATATTCGATTATTTTGATATAAGGGTGTCGATTTGATGGAACATTTTTGTTTTTGTGGAATTAGCGGACTTCATGAAGGTAAGAAAAAGAAGAGGAATGCAACATAAGGAGCTTAACTTCAGAATTCTGAAGGGATCCGATGCCTTAATGTTGGTATATGATCACATCCCACAATAAAACCGTTGAAAATTGAAATATCCATGCATAGATGTAGCACAAAGGTTCGTTCGAAATGAAAAATAGCAGGGTTTTTTAAGATTTGACTATTTTAAGAAGGGTTTTGGTTTCATGCAAAAAAATATCATTTTTGTGGAATGAACGGACTTTGTGAAGGTAAAAAAAAGGAACGCAACACAAGGACCTCCCTTTTATGATCATATTCAACATTAAGACCATTGAAAATTGTAATATCCTTGCATACCCGCTGCACAAAGGTGCATTCGGAAATGAAAAATGACGCAATTTGAAGGCATCCATCCTAGTACTACTCTTAACTGATTTATATAGATAATACATGGAACCCTCATTTAGAGATCAAGATGGTTCCCGAGGCACCCAGATACATGGTGATGGATCAGTTACATTGCCGAGTATTTCTGTGACAAGGCCTCGTAGTGCTTCCTTTGCTGTGATGACCAACAGCAAGAAAAGTTAAGACATGCTCCTATAAGAGGGTGAAGCAAAATAAATGGTTATCAGAATGTCATGTACCTGTTCTGACACCGACGGCTTTATTTTAGACAGAGCTTGCTCAAAGTGCGATAATTCAATCGAAGCAACTGAACACAGTGAACTTATTGATAATGCCCCATTCTCCAGGAGTTCCAAACTCTCATCCAAAGCTTCCTTGGCTGCTTCGTCCACCAAAGAAGGAAGCATGTGTGTGAGTTGCCTTGATGTTCTCTTAAAGTACATGCTTCATCACAAAGAATTAAAGAATGCCCACTTTGAAAATTTTCTAACGGGACAACTCAATGAAAAGGCACAGAAATTACCAGCAATGCTAGGTCAGCGCCAGAGAGATTGTTGCACTCCTCACGACGTGCAAATGCATCCAAATCAACAGTGCAGGATACAGGTTTTCTCTGAGAACATATTAGGGCTTTTAATATCGAATGCCGCTCATTAGCACTGAGCAAAGGTACAAAATACTTCTGCCCCAATCTACCAGGCCGTAGAAGAGCATCATCTATCACATCAATTCTGCACCATACATGAAACTGCATGTTGACGCCTTCCTTTCAAGGACAAATAAGTAAAAAGGAACAACCCGGTGGCTGACAATACCTATTTGTAGCTCCAATAACATAAACACCTTCACGCTGATCAGCACCATCAAGTTCAATAAGTAACTGCGATCAGAACAAGTAGAATAACGCTGAGCAAAGGAACAAACAAATTAATAAAGAATCTCGGTATTTTGCCAAACATACAGGTGATACATAAGATGTCCAAACCTGGTTTAGGAGACGTTCAACAACCCATGCTCCCTCCATACCTCTTTTTGTTGTCAAAGCATCTATCTGGCACATCAGTCAATAAACACTTGAGAAACATATGATGAGAAAAGCACCTTCACAACCAAGACCCACAAGTTGCTGGTCACTTCCAGTAGCACAAATGTACCAAACATGCAAATTTGTTAAGAGACTGAGCCAAGTTCCCATCAACAGATTAAAGTATACTACCTCCATTTGGAAACAAGAGACGCTGTTTTAGTTCAAATTTATTTCTGAACGGAGGGAATACAAAAATAGCTAAACAGAAATTTTACCTCGTCAAAAAATAAAATGCACGGGGAGTTGAGTCGTGCACGGGCGAATGTCCTCCTTATATATGCTTCACTCTCCCCAACATACTTGTTCAATCCTTCAGGACCCTAAAGTTCCAGAGAAAGAAATATCTGAGCAGTCTGTACAGAACTGAAGAGGAAATTGCTTATTTACCACTGAATAACTCCTCAATAGCTCACTTGCTATTAAAAAATGAATGTTGCGTGGTTAGCATTGTAAAACTCAATTCGTTGCCAACATACCATCGCCATTATCCTATTAAAAGATTTCAGTTAAATCGTATAGAGCTGTTAGTTTCTCCCGGTAATGCCAAAACTACCCTCGACTCAGTTGAACAGAAGGTCCACTCACAACAGCACCAGCACAATAACCAGATCAATTGATTTGTAAAAAAAAAAAAATTCGGCTGCCAGCGGCTTCCATGGATGGGATTCCATGGCTGCAAGAGGTACTATTTGTCAAGCTTCATGCACTGGCCAACGGAACGAACCAAGATTCCGAACTGATGGAAAGGGCTAGGCAATCCACATATACACTTCAACACTATTACCGGATGATGCGATTCTATGGTTGCACAAGAGTGGTGTCGAGAGTAGCAAGGGCAAGCAAAGAAAGGGCAGCAACAATGTCCAAAGAAGTATTTTGAGAATAGCAAGGGCAAGAGAAGGAAATGGGCGACAACAATATCCAGTTCGCAAGGGCTGTGGATATAGATGCCAGAATGGCAAAGAGGTTCATCCAGAATCATTAGAAGCCAATGCTGATGTCGCAAAGGCAAAAAATGGTAACTGCACCGTCACTTTGTTCATTCTCTCTAGTGACAGATAAGGTACAGAGTAATATTTTTATGCTCGTTTAGAAAGAAAGGAAAAGATAAATTTAAAACCATTTAACCGACGGAGTTTAGCAGCCACTTAGCAGTCGATAGCATGTGAGCAATCAATTCCGTTTTTGACAGTTAAACAAGCAACACTCTTTTGAATGAGCAATAATCAGCGGTAAATAAGCAATTTCCACGAAAATGGAAGGAGTATACTGACTGAGAATATGGAAATCTAAGCATCAATCTACCTTAATATGAATAAAATTAGCCCCTGCGTCGTGTGCAACTGCTTTTGCTATTAGTGTTTTCCCACAGCCCGGAGGTCCAAACAGCAACACACCAGCTTGCATGTTTACTCCAAATTTCTTGAGAGGACATGAAAACACAAATAAAGGATAAAGAGAATGTTAAAGAAATTGCTTGAAAACAATATTTCAAATAAGCGCCATGGATGTCTTATGATTCGATTAGCTGTCCATACTGTGAAGAGGACTGAACTTTTATGGGACCAAATCACTATTGAAACCATATAACAGAATGAAGAAAGTTAAGATGATGCACCTTATAATATTCAGGGTACTTGATACATCGAACGATGGAGCGGTTCAATTCCTTCTTTAATGAATCAAGACCTCCGACACAAGCCCATGTGACATCAGGCACAGAAGAAAATCCTTCTCTTCTCAATGATGGTTGAACTATATCTTTAATGGCTTCCTTTAGCGATTGAAGTAACAAGGTATGTTAGAAATGGGTCCCACTACGGAAAGCTAATAACAGAAGAAAACAGGATGAAAAAGCACACAGCACAAGAAGAAAAGCAATGTAATATGAACAACATACTTTTGACAAGAAAATAACATAAATGACCATCCACGTCAACTTGGAAACCATGAAATCAACACACATCATATACTTCAACAACACACAGTCAAATAAGAGAGAGAGAGAAAGATCATTATTGAATAGTACTAATCTTAAACTAGATGAGATAAATGTAAGAATTCTAGCTAGGGGTGTACATGTAAAAGGTGGAAAGCTTAATTACCCCAAAGTCATCCATAATAATACTTAGGCGCTGCACCTCGTGTTTATCCAAAGGATGCTTCAAGTAGTCCAGGTTGTTTCCTTCCTTGAGAAACTTGTCTTTTCTAGCATTAAAAAATCTTTTTATAGCTACACTCCCTGCTGTATCAACCAACGCCTTCAAGTCTGCACCAACGAATCCTGGCGTGGCCTTTGCTATCTTCAACAAATCAAACTGGCCTTTCGGGGGCAATCGAAGTTTCCGGGTGAGCCTCTCCAGTATCAGTTTCCGGGCATTCTCATCGGGAACACCAAGATATATTTCCCGATCAAACCTTCCTGGTCTTCGAAGCGCTTGGTCGACAGCATCAGGTCTGTTTGTAGCTCCAATAACAATAACATAGCCAGGCTTCTTCTCGTATGATTGTGAATCATCCTCCATGTCATCGGCATCAGATGGAATGTTCTGGTGGAATTCATCCATGCATGTCATCAACTGTGTAACCACCCGTCGTTCCATTCCTCGCTGCATATCATCCCGCTTCGACGCAATCGCATCTATCTCGTCTATAAATACAATTGAGGGAGCAGTCCTGTATGCCTTGTTAAACAGGGTTCTGATGTTCTCCTCAGAACCTCCTGCAAGAACAAAATTACTCCCTATAACTAAACTTTATCCACAAGAAGAGCTAGTAATGCACAAACTTGGTGCAGATTAAGAACCGACGCATACCGGAGACACCAGACACTAATTCGGTCGCCGAGGTTGGGTAGAACGGCACGCCGGTCTCGTCGGCAATTGCTTGGGCAAGCGTGGTCTTCCCACAGCCTGGCGGTCCGTGCAGCAGAATCCCGGACACGGGCCGCACTCCAAGGTGCAGCGGCAGCTCCGGATGGCACAGCGGGACCACCACCTCCAGCATCAGTAGCTCTATCACCGACTCCATGCCCCCGAGGTCAGCAAACATTACCCTTTTTTGCCCACCGTGGCCTCCTTGAGCATCAGGCCGCATGAGAGCCTTCTCCACGGCGAGCTCCATCTCGAGCTGCTGGTCAGCGTCGGGGTCTCGTTTGGATGTTTGGGAGGAGTAGCAGGAGCGCAGCAGCGATTTCGTGACGTCATATGCGGGGGAAGGCGGCGCTTGCGAATGGGTGGTGGTGGAGGACGATGTGGCGTCATGGCTGCTGCGGCGGCGGGAGGAGCTGGGGGCGCTGTCGTCGGAGCAGGAATCGCCGGGAGGAGGTAGGGAGGAGATGGCACGGCGGACGACGGAGGCGAATAACTCAAGCTTGTAGCGTTGGTACTCGCGGTGGCGGGAGCGAATGGCGCGGGCGACGTCGTCGGCAGAGGAGCCGGGGATGGCGAGGCCGGCATCTGATAGGATGATTCGGCGTACGCGGGACTCCAGGGAGTAGGACCGGCGCGGGCGCTTCGCCATTGACGGCGGCGGCGGCGGGTGGGTAGGGTTTGGGATTTTTTTTTAAGAAAAGACATTGGCATCTGATTTATATTTATACTATTTCCTCAGTTTCAAAATAAGTGTAGCTGATTTAGTACTCCCTCTGTTTTTTTAGTTTGCATATAAAATTCGGTCAAAGTCAAGCTTTGTAAACTTTGACTAATTTTATATTAGAAAATATCAACATTTATGATATGAAATCAATATTATCAGATGCACCATGACATGTATTTTCATATTATATAGTTTTAATATTGCAGATGTTTATATTTTTTGATATAAATTTGGTCAAACTTTGTGTAGTTTGACTTTGACCAAATTTTATACGCAGAGTAAAAAGAAACGGATGGAGTATAAAGTTGTATTAAATCAACGACACTTATTTTGAAACGAAAAGAGCAATATATTTATCAAGAAAAACACAGGACAATCGAAGAACAAGACACAAAATGACATTTGAAAAGTAAAATTACATGGAAAAACATATTAGTCTTCTTCTTTCTTCACTTGCTCATCATCCATTGGAGCTTGAAAAATACGTTGATCAGGCAGTAAGGACTAGAGACACCTGCAAACACCATCGCCCTACAAGGCTTTGAGGACCGCAATAGCGATTTGCCACGAATAACAAGATCTAGTAGTCATTAAAGAAACATCAGTTGGGGCAGCACCCCACGCAGCCTAGGTTTGCAATGCCAATCTCGAGGGTTGTAGTTAGTGGGCATTGCCGCAGAACAAAAGGAATGAAGATGTCGAAGTCGATGCACCAACAACCAGTTTGCTTCCCTTATATACACACTAACTGTCAAGATCCGAAAAGAACCAACAATCTGATGACACATACCTTCGCAGACCGTTCGTTAACATCGAATTTGGCCCATCGAGGTACAGAGAGACCAAAGAAACCTTATTCCAACGCGTCATTGCTACCGCCACCTCGCAGATGCAGCTTGTGAAACAAAAACCAAAGAAAAAACATGACAAAAAAGCATCAAAGAGTGAACTAATAGATGGTTAGGTTCCTTGTGGTGGAATCAACCCACCCAGGTTTAAATGTCATACTTAGAATGGGTGCTCGCATATTTCCTGAATTTATATTAGGTTCTTGGGCGCTATTTTTCCGGCGGTATGGCGTGTCCATCAACTACGAGGCATCTATGGGGACTTCATCAATCTTAAAATTTGTTGGCTCAATCTCTCGGGGGTGCTCATAGGGCGAGTGTGCATACGTGTATGTGAGTATCTACGTTTGTACCATGTTTCTTCAAAAAAAAATTAAAAGGAGGACACCACTCCTTTAGCTGGAGGACGGAAGAGAGGAGGTAGGCCGAGATGGCGGCGGGTGGGTAGGTTTTGGGGTCTGGTTTGGGGGAGACATTAAAATTGTGCAGCTTTCCTGCCCTCTTGAACCATTAATAGCATTTGCAGCTGTTCGATCATCATTTTTAGGCATTTCTGACCGTCAGATTAGTTATCTTAATCCAACGCCCGCTCGCTTTGATCGCTACGAACAATCACTAAACCTGTTGGGCCACTTCTCTGTCACAATTTTGGACGTCTGATATTACATTCGGTTGGGCCGCTGCTCCCGTGACATTTTTGGTACCATATCCACAGGTTGTTTGTTTTTTTGGAGTTGGAATGGTTGCTCCTTAATTCAAAATCCAACAAAGATTTGTAGCCCAAAGGAAAGCAATTCACTTGGCATCAGGCATCCATGAACTGAAACACTGGTGCTAACCACTGAACCAACAGCCATCTCCCAAGTGATACAGTAGAAGATGGTGGATCAGTTTATTCTAAAAAAAGGTGGATCAGTTGCAAACAATTTATGCGAGAATGCCGAAATGTGTAAAACTAGTGACTGCACAAGCCAAAATGAACAGTACCCAGTAGAAAATTGAACATTGAGCATGTATAAGGAATAAACTTCAGTATTTGTGATGGCATCTTGCAACCAATGGTTCAACCAACAGTAGCACACTGAAATCAATTACTATCATCACGGGTGAACATTAAGTTAGGCAATTGATTACACTGGTAATGGAGTAGCTTCTGACACGTCACACACAATACCATGAGACTACAGCAGTCATAAACACAGTACCCAGCGCAGTAAGTACATCGCTTACTAGAGAGCTTCAGATTATTAGACACGGTGGCTGAAATCACACACGATTTACATTGTACAAGATGCAGGCAAACCTAACGCACAATTTTAAAGGGGGCAGTCTTAACTTATAGTGACGCTACATGTTCCGAACCACTAACTGTCCCAGTCCAGGCCATGTTCCGCTTGCAGTTGTGTTAGCGGCTGGGGCTGCTGCAGTTCAGGTGGCTGGGGTTGAGGTTGCGGCGGCGGCACTAGCGTCGGCTGGGGTTGCTGATGGAGCTGCAGTTGAGATTGCGGGGATTGCTGGGGCGGAGGTTGCAGCAGCAGTGGTGCCGGTTGCAGATGGAGCTGCAGCTGAGATTACACAGGTTCCTGTGGTTGATCCTGAGGATTGAGGCTGCAGCGGTTGCTCAGGTTGAGCCTGAGGATACAGCTGCAGTGGAGGTTGTAGGGGTTGCTGTGGTGGAGCCTGAGTATACTGTTGCAGTTGAGGATGCAGGGGTTGCTGTGGTGGAGCCTGAGTAAACGGTTGCAGGGGCTGCTGTGATTGAGGATAATGCAGTTGCGGTTGAGGTTGTGGAGGCTGCTGTGCTTGGGGATGCAGCTGCAGATGAGGTTGTGGGGGCTGTTGGGGTTGATTCTGTGGTTCTAATGCAGGCTCCTTTGGTTTGGCAGCTCCATTGTTCATCCTTGCTCGGGCTTCAGCAAACATTCTCTGCTGTTCAGCAACAGCTTCTTCTTCAGTCATCTCTATACCAGTGAACTTGGTTGCTTTTGGAGAGTCCTGCGCAAGAGGAAGTGTCAATATACTCTGCAACATTAGAAAAGGGAACAGTACGCATAGTCTTGCGGGTGCACAGCAGTACAAACCAGAGTTTCAAGCTTGTGCTGTTCGTAGGCTGCATAAACTTCTTCAACATACTCCTTGAAGCCAAGATCCTGTGGATAGAAAGATAATTAAGAAAACAATTACGAATTCCACATGCAGGTTAGTAATATCTATCTCATGCGATGTCAGTTCAGTTCGTATCTTAAGGAATTAATTGACTAGTGTGGACGCTGATGATGGTTGACTGCAAGCCTCATTATGTGCTATTCTGGTCTCTTCTCTTATTTCAGTCTTCATCTGTTTGAACTATGGTCAATGGCCATGTTTGTCCCCGATGAACAATTATTGTCTGTAAACTGTAATGACAACTGCCGTGATGGCTTGATTCATTTTGAGCAGGCAAATCTGTTTGCCAGTTTTTTTTTAAATGCATATCTCATGCACCAAGCTGTTTGCCTAAATACACTGATTGGCAAGATATTATTAAGGCAAAGTACCATAAGTGAGATTCGGTGGCCACGGTGAAAAGCAAGTTCTCTGATTCCACTATATGGCTTGTAGGAAGGTGGTTCTTGGGTCAGGTAATATCGCTAGATTGTGGTTTGACTCTCTTAATGGGAATCAGGCTTTATATGTCAGGTTTCCTGAGCTTTTTGTCATTTGCAACATGGCATAGTATCAATGTCAATGATTTCTTTAGGAGACGTCTGAACCCTATTCTGGCCTCCCAATGGGGGGAGTTGTGTTCCTTTGTGAACAGGTTGAACACTTCTTCTGATCCCGAGTCCTGACAGGGTGGTTTGGGCTCTGGGCCCCAAAGAAATCTTTACCACTAAGTCGATGTATGAGTTCCTAGAGAGAAATATTGCGGATTGCAACTTTAAGTGGATTTGGAGAGCTAAGATCCCCTTTAAGATTCAAATCCCTTTGGCAACTTTTCCAAGACGCCGTGTTAAACTAGATATATTATGACCAGGAGAAACTGGGCGGGTAATCCTCGCTGCACTTTTTGCAGCGAAAGCGAAACGTCCCAACACCTCTTCTTCTTGTGCCCAGTGGCTAGGGTGGTCTGGAGAATCGTGGGATCAGTCTTTGGCACTGATCTTTGTCCTAATATAATGTTTGGCAATATTACCCGTGGTTCTACACCTTTCTACCCGATGGTAGTAATTTTTATACTTTTGGTCTGGCAGCTATGTGTTGGGCCATCTGGAATTGTCATAACCAGGCGACCTTTGAGCTCAGATTTCCAAAAAACCCTTTTGAAGTGGTGTTCTCTTCATGTGTTTCTGGATTATTGGGCAGGTCTGCTGAAGAGTGAGGATGAGGCTATGCGACGAGGGGCAACGATGCTCAATGATAATGCGAAGAACCTGATGCGCATTTGTGCTGCTGCTCAGGATGATGGAGCGAAGAACTGATAAGGCGCTGACCATTCTCTGGGTTGTCCCTGTAGGCTGCCTCTGCTGGTTGTTTTCTTTTGTGGTGCTGTTTACCCCTTGCGTGGGTGTGATACTTTGGATGTGTTCTGTCTCCTCATTGGAGTGCTGGACATTCTCCTTTCCTTTTGTTAGGATAATCTTTTGTGAGAGTGTCGTCGGGTTTTCACCCCATGGTGAATGCGTCGATGACGCACGTTCACAGTGGGTTTCTGGTGATGCTGAGCTCGCTCTCCCTTTCCCGTTTCCTTTTGTGCTCAGTTTGGGTTCAGAACTGATGTATTTCCGCTATTATGGAAAGGGGTGATGCCTGGTTCAAAAAAAAGAAGCAGAAACTAACTATTGTAAAGGAAGATCATCCACAAATATGTTTTAGAGCCCGAAATTTTGGGTTCAGGATTCTATTATCCACAAGAAAACCTGCCTGGGTGGTTAGCAAACTGGTTACTTTTGGCTGGTTCTCAGTTATTTTGGCTTTTTTCAAAAATCAAATTTAAGCTTTTGAAGAATTGATGCTTGGATCATTTATAAATAAAACTCCAACAGTTCTCCAGAAATGAGGGTCACACGAGCCCTCTTGAGTTGGCCCTTTATTAGAAAAATTATTCCTATGAACCGGTATGACTGTTTTCAGAAGGTTTTTGCCATGCCAGTTTATATCACAGCAGCTCACCCTGTCGTAATAATCTAAGATATTATGAATTGCATTCAATTGGCTTTATCAGAACATCAAAACAATATATGTATATGTTTATCGAAGTACTCCCTCCTTCCATCTATATAGGGCCTAATGCGTTTTTCGAGGCTAACTTTGACCAAATATTAGAGAAATAATATATGACATGCAACTTACACAAAGCACATCGTTAAATTCGTGTGTGCAAGGAGCTTTCAATGATATAATTTTCACATTGTGCATGTCATGTACTATTAATCTTGTCAATAGTCAAAGGCGGTCTTAAAAACGCATTAGGCCCTATATAGATGGAAGGAGGGAGTATGAGTAGTTAAGATGTTGATGCATAATGATGAAAAATAAAACATATACTGTAACTATGTTTCCTCAAATAAAAACAGTAATGTAATCATGCAGTGTACTGTAAGTAGAAGGAGGAAATGGAAAGATAAAAAACCTGCAAAGCCCTAATAACATGTTCAGGGGCAATAGTTTTCTTGTCGTCCCGGCTGCACACGTCATTGGATTCCGAAGAAAGAAGATTGATGAACTCTGAATATATCAAAACCACATAGACAAGGTTAGACGATGTGCAGCTTCTGCCTATACTAACTGTCTCATATTGTCTTAGTATTCCTACCTACCTTCCGAGTGCATAAACAATAAGCATTGCCAAGCAAGTTACTACCTCTGTACCAAATTATAAGACGTTTTTGACACGGAGGTAATCAGGTGATAGTATTTTTCATGGAGCTAGCGCGCGCCTTGGTGAAAGTTTGAAAACAGAGGATGACAAATATATAATATGAAGCAGAGGGATTGTGTATTTCTTAATTACCTACACAGCATTCAACAAGAAGATCCTGTGTATCTCTTGCTACTCGAACATCAGGCGGTAGCATCTCCTTGATAATCTTGGTCATTGTTGCTGAAACGAAAAGCATAGCATTGAATCAATTATAATACTATAATCAAACCGTAGACACAAAGTATCAGTCAAACACTTTGAATCCAGGATTCAAGCAAATCAATATCTGACCATTATTATAACTGATAGATGTCCCCAAAAGCTGCTCCCGTGGGTAATTAGTAGGTGGGCGTAATTCGCCGGAAAAAGGGCTCCATTACATAACTAATCCCATGTCCAATTGCAAGCGTCATGGGATGAGAGTCGCAGACCTAACTTTCCCCACCATACATATCGCTCATCTTCCCTGCCTCGTAACGCCCCCTGGCTAGCTAGGTCGTCAATTTTGAGCATATCGCGCACGACGAGGAAACGGCACGAGCGAGCTTACATTTGGGGAGGGAGACGTCCTCCTTGGACTTGCCCACGATGTCCATCGGATCCATCCCTCGCCGTCGAGCGCGCGACGGAGCTTGGGCCTGGGGCGCC